GATTCTTTCCAAGAATCTTTAATGTTTAGTCTCCAAGATGCCTCAACAATTTAAACTAACGCTGCTGATTAAACTTTCAGCAAAAATAAAACTGAGCATGTATTTATCCCTTGATCCTGTGGACTGACCACAGGATGCATGGTCACAACATGATGTGCAGCTCAGCTTCATTTTAAATTCTGAGATCTCAAAGTGAAATCTTAATTATTAATAATAGTTTAAAAGTTTAGAGCCGAGCTTAGCACATAAGACACACTACTGTCTAATATATTGTACAGCACATTTCATACACAAAGCCAATTTAAGCTGCTTTACATAAAGGATTAAATATGTTTTTAAAAAGGACAACATTCAAATGCAAATGAACAGAAATGTTTTTTTTTTATTTTATTTCTCTATCTCATATTGGAAGTTGCTGTGTAAGTAAAGGGCATCTGTCTATCTACAAAAGGTTTTAAAGGAAATGTAAAAAGCTAAGAACATGCAGAACATAGATGTCTGTGATCTGGGTGTAGTGGTGGTGAAAGTTAACGCCTACATCTGGACTGTGGAGCTTTTTCTACAAAAGCACATTTTACTCCAGAAATCCACTGACACTGACTGATACTTATTTAAAATGTTTAGACAGTAAAATAATCAGCCAACTATAAACTTGCAGTGGGAACGTTTCAGACTCTAGATGAAAACAAGTTTTTCATGTCTGCGCCATGGGGCCGTTCCCACACGGTGCATGTACCAGGGTGATGCTGATGTCTTATTATGGAAGGTTTCCTTGTAATTCATTAATAATTAATATGTAGTCATTGTAAGTGAACCACGTGTCACTGTAAATACAGGTTATATACAGCTGAACCACAAACTGTTTGATCTGCTTTCTAACTGATGTTTCTGGCAGATGAACATGAAACTTTGTATTTGCACATTGAGTAGAAGCTGCAGTCGAGACTCGATTTGCTATAATCTTCTCTCAGAGAAATGCAGTTTTACCTCAAGAAGGGCCAGACCTCTTTATCTAGGTCCCCCCCCCCACATCTGTGGGCTCAAAGCTACAAATGATGTGATTATGATATATCATGTAACAAAGTAAGTCTCTTTGTTTCCGCTGTACACCAAAGAAATCAATACTAGGGCGGTTGGAGCCTTGAGGGGCTGCGGTGTCTTCTCTGGACTGACCAGGTAAGACTTAGGCCCGGCCGGGATTTGGAGGACTCAGAAATGCTGATTCTACATTTAGCCTGACAGTGATACATGCCTCAGCCTCGTTGTCCGGTTAGCCTGGTACCTGAGGGTCCGACCGAGTAAGATCAGCTGCAGACCAGGATGAGGTTAAGGATGGAAGATGGAGGAGGAGCAGAGGGGGGAGGCCAGAAACCTGCTGCTTATTTTTAGAACCAGCAAAGTCTGGGAGGGAGAAAAGATGGAGGAGACAGAGTATTTATTATACAGAGGGGAGTTGAGGGCCGTGAAGAATAAACAGGGATACACAGGATTTTCACAAAAATGTGTGTGAGTGGTACCCGGCAGTTTTTTGGCTGTATGTCCACAGCTGTTCATCACACAGCAAATATCTGTATGTGATCAGACAGAGAAGAGTGTCGGTGTCTCAGGAATACAAGATATAAGTATCTAAGTCGCAGTGGCGTCAAAACAAATGTAAATGTTCTGTCCTTTTAGGATCCAAGCTTGGAGTCTGTGCCACCAGGTCCCCATCATGCGATGACCCAGTCACTTTGAGGATGGACGGTGAGCTTCACCCTCCAACCATAGTCAAGTCTGTCTCATTAGCCTGACAAGTGAAACACTTGAATATATGCAGCAATAAATATGAAGAGTCCTGTTTGCTACTTCACCAGACAACAAGTTGCTCAAATGGCAAAAAACGTCTCCACTGAGTCATTCATCCCTGTGGGTCACCTCGACTTACTTGCCTCATGTCTGTCGCGTTGTATCAGCCACCAGCAGCTTGTGTTTGCTTTGTAACCAGGGATGTTAAAACAGAAATCATCCCAACACTGCTGATACAAAGGAAGATTTTTTTTATGAGGCCAGATGTGAAGTTACACCTGGCTATCACATCTGCACCACTTCTCAGCTTCTTGTTTCTCTTCTTTCAGTAGAAGACAGATTAGCACATTTGTTCACTTTGGATCTTCTGCTGATGAAGCTCCTGCAGGTGGCGTTAAAACCCTCAGCACCACTTTTGTTTTTTAATATATATTGGTACTTCTCCCTTGCTTCCCCAACTCCACACACTCTCCCCTCCCTGTCTCTGATGATGACCTTTTGACCTGTGACACTCAGTGGAGTGTGTCGAGGGTCATCATTAGACTGGTCGGGAGCCTGTGGGAGACGTGCAACGCACACTGCTCTGGCCCTCTGTATAAGAAGATTTGATGGCTGCACACTGCTGAGGATCGATGTATTGAATTACCATTACTGTCTCATCTGTAACTCACGAGCTGTTTGGTCAGCTTTTACTGCGTATCTTTAAGGTTTCAGCTTTCAGTTCAGCTTTTTTGGGGAGACTGCTAGTTGTATGAAATCTCCCCCTCCATGACCCTCTGCTGCTTGTTATTCCAGCTTCTCCACCCTGTGTTGTCAAAGTACGGTCTGTAAATCAGCCCCACCTGCCGCCTAGCCAAGGTTAGAAGAAGGGTTTTTCCAGTCAGTAGTCATGTCAAACAGCCATGGAGGAGCTCTGGGCTGCTAAAGGTCTGAACCAGCGACTGCCAGAGTGAAGACATTTACTATTAGTCAGCTAACGCTAGCTTCAGACTGGAGGCTGTGTTTTACAGATTGTCACAACCAGGCATCTATTGTTTAAGTCATTGGCAGGAAACAGGTTGTAATGGGAGGGGCAAAAAGCGGCTAGGAGCGGCTGATGGTGTCTTGTAAAATGAACATACATTTAGGACATAAATGAGCTTTCCATAACATTCAGAACTGTCTCCTCAACCCCATTAAATGAAATTACACTGCTAAAATGCTGCTTAGATCCTGGACTCATTAGTCAGCTAACGGTAGCTGCGTTTTGTACAGTTTGTCCCAAACAGGCATCCGTAGTTTAAATTGTTGCTAGGAAACAAGATGTCCGTTTGTTTTGAGCTTCACTAGACCTGTGGCTGAAAAGAAATGTATTGCATTTTTAAGGTGGCAGGTGTCACTCTGCTTCCACAACATCCAGTTTAGTGTTATTTATTAATTGAAAAGTTTGTGTTCAGACAAAGCAGCTGATAATTTAAGAGGACTGTGCTGCATTAGGTGAGTTTTTGCAGCTTTAATAACAATCACTGTTTAAGGTGAAGGATCTTATTAGACAGCCTTCCTAATATTCATTCACACCAAATTAGTCCAAATTAGACACTGTGTGTAAAACATTTTATAGTCCACAGTTTGTTTAAGAGATCTGCAGAACATTGGATCAGTGATCTACTTAGTGTGTGTTTTCCAGCTCTGTCAGACATCCAGATCTCAGTTAATATCTTGGTGAGTACATTTTTATCATTGCTGAGAGAAATGATGACAAAGACGAAAAATAAAAAAGTAAAATTGATGTTTGATGATTCTGCAGCGTGCTTCCATACAGCAGTGATGTTGACAAATGGACAAGGCAGACAGCAATCTACAGCAAGTTTACAATAGATAACAACTACAACAAAAAGTAGGATTTGTGCAGGAGGCTAAAATGCTGGCAGACTGCAGCTGGCCAGAAGTTAAAAATAAGGCCGAGGTCCTAACGGAGAGCGTGTAAATCCTCCGACAGGATGGATGTAGCTGTCGTTACTGCTGTTGTTGTTGTGTCCACCATTGCTTATAGAGACAATGGTGTTAATGAGCCTCACATATCAAACACAGCACACTCCATGCTGTCTGTGTCTGTGTGTGTGTGTGTGTGTGTGTGTGTGTGTGTGTGCGCGCGTGTTGGCCAGGCGCTGTATATCTGTGTGAAGGGTTGGTTGGGCTCACATTTGTCTTTAAAAGCTGCTCGATGTTCAGTCTCAAAAATTAACCCACATTCATTATGACAGGATGATTGACAGTTCATAGCCTAGCATTTGACCAGCTAGCTTAGCAGGTTAGCATTATTGATATAAGAATGACAACTAAGTCTTAGGCCAGACGCACCAAACTGATGGTCGGCTGTCAGTGAGCATCTGTTGGGGCTTGTCTTCCTGGTGTGTCCAACATTGTTGGCACTAGCTGGCCTCCATCGGCGGATTTTCAGCTAATTCGATATGCTGAATTGGCGCCAGCCTGCTGGGCCTTGTCCTTGAGAGAGGGGCCTCTCTGACTGGCTGAGAAGGGGTCAGGATAGCCTCTTCAGCCTGTCAAAGTAGTATCCATGGCTTTACACATTTAGTGTGTTTCTCCTTGTTTTTCAACCTCCTTGCTTCTTCACAACCAAAAGACAAAGGCCAGAAAACAGCAGTGTCGTGTAACTTCTTATCAGACATATTCTCCATTAGAAGCAGCTGTAAACAGCAGCTGTGTTGAACAACAGCTGCTTTGTTCATAGCTTATATTTCTGCATTCCCTTTCTGAACGGTGAATACAGATACTGCCACCTGATGGTAGGGTCCCTTCTGTCAAGCAGACACATAACGTATGTGCTAGTTGGCCATTGGATATAGTCTGTATTGTTTGTACAAGTGTCACCACTTTGCCAATCCCCTGACAGACAAAGGCGACAGGAGGCCACGCAGCAGTTGGCCTTCATTGCTGCTGGTTCTTTTGCGTTAGCTTGGTGTGGCTCTGCCCTTGCTCAGCTCAACTTAGTTTAGATCATGTGTCAAATTCAATGTCGAATCCGGCCCTCCGGATCATTTTATGCGGCCCTCGAAATTTTAAAATGCGTATGGCTCTTAAAATAAAAGTATATGCTAATTGAAAACATACACTGACCATAAACTACATCTCCCACAATGCACGTGGATTTCGGGACCCGCGAAGCATTATCTCGCCACTAGATGACAGTGTTTCGCCTTTGTTTTGCCATTTTACCAGCCACTTTCGGACAAGTGGAAGTGAGAAATACCAGCAGTGAATCCCAAAATGTCCAAGAAGAGAAAAGTTGATGCAGAAGGAAGGCAATTTAACGAAAGGTGGGAAAGTGAATGTATGTTTATGCTTCAAGGAGAAAACCTGTGTCTTTAGTGTCATGAGGTGGTGACGGGGTACGGTGGGCATTTTGAGACCAAACACGGAGCTAAGTGTGCTAAAATTAGCCTCCGAGAAAAACAACAAACCATTATCAGTTTTAGACTGTTCAGTAAATGTTAATCCTGTCTGGCCTCCAACTTAGACTGTGGTTTAATCTTCGGCCCCTTGTGTGATTGAGTTTGACACCCCTTTTCTAAACTTTCTAAATGTGGACTGCAGGAACCAGATTCGAACCTGTAACTGTCCGGTCGGGAGACGACCGTTCTACCCACAGTCACGCCTAGGTTTCATAGGAATGAATCTTTTACCCAGTATTCCATGGTACTGATTCCTGAATAGGGCCGCGGGGGGCTGGAGCCTATCCCAGCGGATATTGGGCGAGGCATGACGTCCTGCTCACCTACCTGTCTGTGATCATCAGTCCAGTAGGTAAGGTGCTGGATGTGGGCGGGGCGTCGCGGTGCGTTTGCTGTCTGTCACAGGCAGGATGTGGTAGAAATTCTCTGTTGGAGAGTCTAGCTCACGGTTGCCATCTGTCAGCTCTGGCCCGGCTATTGATCCAACGTCGGGGTCACACCAGGAGCCTGACCCCCGACATCACTACCTGACACACACACAGACAGGGAGGTTAAGGTGTGTGACAGTAATGTGACAGTCACTTTCCCAGTGTGATGGCTGTCGGTGTCTGCCTGATGAGCAGCGACACAACCATCACTCCCAACCTTTTTATCCTCCACACAGCCCCCACCCACCCTCTACAGCCCCCATCACAGGCTGCACCACATGCTGTGTCAGATGAAGCTGTAGCCGCACAGACGTGAACACAGCAACAACAGTGGGAAAAGATTAAACCTGCAACACAGGAAAAAACCAAACGCGCTGAGTGGAGCTGAACATTAACTGCAGGATTTTAGATGTGGATGAGAACTCGGTGTTAGCTGCCTGTCTGTGTAATATTGTGACTAGAGGTGAAGATGTCCGTCCGTTAATCGATTAATTGATTGACAGAAAAATCAAGCATTTTGATAATTGCTTTATAAAAGTAGTTATTGGTCTAAATGTGACTCACTCTCTAAGCTTCCAGCTTTTCCAAAGTGAGGATTTGATGCTCTGTCCATGTTGTTATTATTCACTGTAAGTGGAATATCTTTGGGTTTTGGACAGTTGATTAGAAAAAAGACATTCAACACTGTCATCTTGGACTTTTTCACTAATCATTGATAAAAGATTGTGTGTCTGGATGAGACGTTACAGTCTATCTAGGCTTCAAGAACAAATATTTGTTTTCTTAACTTTTTCATTCTTTAGTTTGTGCAGTAGCCAAAAACTTAAAATGCATATTACTAAAATAAATGATTTTAGTGGTGAAAAACATTTCTAAGCGTTTCTCTCCGCCTGTTTCAGGCTCAAACTTCTCTATATCTTAATCAACATCTGTTTTTCTAAGTTATTTTTCACGTCTGTGTGTTTAAATGTCATTAACAAACCCGGTAGTGTGGGAATATTTTGTAAAACTTCATTAACCTATGTCTCATATCCTCTAGAGCTGCTCCAGCCCCCTGCAGCTGGCCCTCACTGTGGGACCCAGGTTTGGCAAAGCACTTCCACAGATCAGGCGTCGCCTCCTGCAGGAGCGGCAGGTAGGAACACACTGACCTGGAACTGATGCTCAGTTAGGAGGCGCGTTAATGAGTAGAAAGCAGTTTTTAAAAACTTCACATCTGTGCAGCTACAGCTTCATCTGACACAAACTTCCTGTTTATCTGCCTTAGATTTTGTGTTATTTATTTATCTACTTTATATTTCATTTGTATTTTGTAGCATTCATGCGGACGGCAAAGTAAGAATTTCATTGTACAGGGAAACACGTTTCCTAACTGTACATATGACAAATAAACACTTTGAACCTTGAACCTTCAGCAGCAGCTTGTCTGGTCCAACTAAACAAGGTCAACAGTGAAAAGTTAAACTGTGATTTTTACTCTGTTTAAAACTCTAAACAGTATTTTTAATGAAGAACTTTTCTTCATTCAGAGCAGGTTGGATGCCGGTGCTGTCATTTCTCCGGGGCTTCAGGCCGGCCTCTGACCCCACCGCTCATATAAAACACTAAAACAGGAAGGAGGAGCTGACTTAGAAAACCAAATAAACAGAAAACTCGTAGGCCTATAATGTTTTTTACAGGGCTGCCCAGATGTCTCTCACCACGGTGACAGACAAAAACTCTCAGTCGAAACGGTCACGAAGTCCAATGACAACAACAAACTGAATGAAACTAGTTCAGAACATAAATATTCTCCACTGAAACAATGAACCGCCTCCAACAGACTGAAGCTGAATCTACAGGACACAGTCACACATACACACTTCCTGAGTGTGTATTCTGTGTGTGTAAAATAAAAACTCTGTCTCCAGCTGAGGACGATGCAGCAGGAAGCAGGAGCTGCAGTTTTTCTTCTTCATTAGTGTTAGTGCCTGCAGGTGTTAAATAATATTAATGACCTCCAGCGTCATTACTTACCTCTGCACTGGGCCTCGCCTCAAGTGATTTTATCGACTGCTGAGCTCTCAGCCGGTGTGTGTGTGTGCGCCAGATTATTCTGCGGTGATATTATCAGGAACTTTAATAAGTTGATTAGCGGCGAGGCGCTATCTGCTAACTGGATCTAGATGATGATGTTGATTGGACGGAGCGCGGCGCCATCCATCTTTCTGATTGGCTAATAACTGAAATCCATCACTGTTTCACTTGGTTTCGGCCGACCACGGTGTGTGTGTGTGTGTGTGTTTGTCCTGGTGCCTCCACTTTATCTGCTTTGGTTCATTTTATTCCTCTTTCTTGTTCTTTTCATTTTGTCCATTTCACCTTTCTCTCTCTCTCTCTTATATGTATGTGTAGCTCTCTCTCTCTTTCCTTCTCTCTTCTTTCTTTCTCTCTCTGGCTGCTGTTTCGTTCTCTCTGTTTCTACTTAAAAAGATTTCTTTTCTTTTCCACTTTTTCCTCTCTCTCTTCCTTTTGGTCTGGAGCGCAGCGGCTCTCGCACACAGCGCGTACTTTGACCGGTGGTCTGTCTCGGCTACTGTCTGTGTGTTTCACAGCGTTGAACTAAAACAGAAAATAACTGTGGGAGACAAAAGTTAAGAGGGATTAAAGAAACACTGGGGGACGTACAGAAATGACTCAGTAAATAGTTTAAGAAACAAAAACGGGGAAGTAAGGGAAGGAAAGATGCACTAAAGGAAGAAGAGAACAGAAAAACGTGTAAAAGAAGAAGTCAGACTAAAGGTTAAGGAAATAGTTAAACAACAGAAGGTTTGGATGAGGGGAGAAAAGCAAAGAGTAAAGAAAGAATAAATGAGAATCCTAAGTTCAGATGTAATAAAAAAAAAAGAAGTGTGTGTGTGTGTGTGTGTGTGTGTGTGTGTATCGCTCAGTAGCATTAGCCACAGGTTCGGCCTGTACTGATGTCCTGGGTCACTGAAGCCAACAGCTTCAAGGCAGTGGACATTTAACATCAGCTGTTAAATGTATTCAAATACAACAAAAAGACACAGTGGTGTGTTCAAACAATGAAGGGAATGTGAATTAGACAACAGTTTTTACATTACAGCTTTCTAATCAAACCTGCAGTATAACAATACAGTGTTGTTCTGGACACTCACCAATGAATAACAATTTAAGGCGTCCGCGTCCCACAGGACGCCCTCTGCTGGCACATGCCTGCTTTGGATGGTTTCAGTAGATGTCGGCTGGAACACGCAGCGAGCACCGGGCATCTCAGACGTGGTCGTAGAGAAGCTGTGCCTGCAGCCTGCATGTTACAGCAGCTCCATAGGAACACAACGGACAAACGCTGTGTCTGTGTCAGTGCTCTCAGAAGCACACACCCCATAACTCGCTCTAATTAATTCCTGCCTACTTTTCTCTGCTGAAATGTTTCCACACCTGGCTGTCTGACGCACCTGTTGACCTGTGTGTGTGTGTGTGTGTGTGTGTGTGTGTGTGTGTGCAGCCATGTCACTCTGAGTAATTAGTTTTTGGGCTTAGCAATACACTTAGAGAGCCAATAGACTGTTTCTGCAGGAGCTGAAACTCCTGAGACTCACACACACACACACACAGACGCAGCAGTAGCAGGTTAGATTAATGTGTGTTGTGTTGGCCGTCCCTGAGGAAAGCAGCTCACTTAATAAAGAAAAATAATTCCTTTATTCTTTCTCTGGATCCCCTTCGCTTTCTGGAAGCTCTGTGTGTGTGTGTGTGCATGTGTGTGTGTGCACGTGTGTGTTTACATGTTTGAAAAATGCTCTCTTTAATATTTGGGATCAACATGTATTATGTTACTTGGGTTTTACTCAGCCTGCTGTATCTTACTTTGCATGTGACAAACTGTTTTCTTGTTTATTGTTTTTCCTCTTGTTGTTTCATGCTGTTAAAAACACAAAGTGCTCGTGTGGCTGCAGTGTTTGTTTTTCTGCTGAGGAGATAATACTACTGTATATATGGTAAAGACAGCAGAATATGCTTAATATGACTTTCTTTTGATAAATTTTCAAGCCCAAGTTTGTTAATAATCCCACAGGAGCGGGTGGATTATTTAGTTTTATTAATCACATGAATCAAACCAAACCCAGTAGAACCATTAGACTCTATTGATCCCAGTGGGAAATCCACCAGCTACCCAGCAGGATGTAAAGTACTTCACAGTATAAGTATATAAGGTAGTTACCATCAGCTCCACCTTTACCAGCTGCAGCATTAAAGTGATGGACACAGTAATTAGTCACTATGATCCAGTATCAGAGCCATTACTGGGACATGGGCTGTTCTGCAGGACGAGTACTGGTACTGATGGTACTGAAGGTATATTTTGATGCTAAGATGGTATTTGGTAATGCAGGACTTTTAGTTTTGACAGAGTAATTTGACACTGTAGTACTTCGGAGTACTTCTTCCACACCTGTATTTATCTTGGCAGGTGAAAGTTCACTGTTAACCTTGAACACCGTTGTTTAGACACAGTCTCACCATGTGGTCAGTTCAGTTCAGGGGTTTTTCATTCAAGGTCTTTTACAGGTCCTCTTGGTTCTGAGGAACCCAGGACCAGTTGGTCCATGTCCAAACTGCGCTGAGTCTAATCAGATCATATAAACAAGTTCATATGATTTTACCTAAATTCTCAGGACACTGTGACTATGATGGTGCTGCTCTGTTGTCATTCTGCTGTGTTTGTGTTCTGTCTGGCCCCACTGTACTTTGGACTGAGTCTGTCTTTTTCTAAATTATACTGATGCATGTTGGCTTTGGGTAGGTTTTCTAAGCGTCCATCTCAGGCCGGGTCAGAATTTAAAACTCGTCATCCCATCACACAGTGAGCTTTTCCCAATTGACATGGAATTTTATATGTTTAGATTTTTACTTTTTAATGCACTTTGATGACTTTTGTCTAGAGTGGACAACTCAACTTGTGCTGTGCTTCATGGGCACTTGAAGGCAACACAGTACACAAACAAAAAAGGTCCATGTTATATGTGCTCCAGCTGGGAACTGGTTCCACCTTCTTTAATGTGAGGAGCTGATGCTTTTCTTTGTCAGACATGAGAATCAGCTGAGTCTCTATGGATCTGCTGGTTGGACACAACAAGACATGTGGAGACGCCACCTTTGGCTCTGGAGAGTCACAGCGGGACTTTTTCCCAGTGTCTGACATTCTGGGAATAAACTGATCAATCAGATCATCAGGACAGTGATCAGCTCATTAGCTGAGCGGACATACAAACGGTGACCCCACTGTTTGTATGTCCGCTCAGTTGGTCGGGAGTTTCTGTCACTGCCTGTAACTTACCACAGAATCACCTCTGTTGTTTCACAGCATGATTTAGGATTTCCAGAGCAAAAGGAATTAATTCAAGAGACCAAATAATTAGGAGCATGAAATATTTTACACAAATGATCATAACTCTGCCTGAACCCAGCTGGGCTCTGTTAGCATCAGTTACACATGCATGGTCCAGGTGAGGAGAGTTATATGGTCCTTTAGCCTCATTTTATTTCCTCTGCTTCCTCATTAGAAGCAGCAGATTAAAGCTGCTCGGCCATTGGTCTTCATTTGGACCAACACACACTGCTAATGGGCCTGAGCGCGTGTCCCCCCCCCCACATACATGCACGTTACAGGCTGGTTAGATTGTGTAAGCTCGAGTGGACAGTTTGTTATTGCATGTTCAAGTGTGTGTGTGTGTGTGTGTGTGTGTGTGTGCTTGTGTCGGGTGACTGGCTCTGTAATTAGTCGGGTCGGTCTAATTGACCTTGTGGTGTGAAGGCGTGTTAGCCGCAGATTGCTAACGTTAGCTGCGCTGTGACTGTGAGCAGTGATGGATGTGTCTGAGAGCTCGTTACACAAACCAGCAGAAAAACCAACAAAAGCCTGTGACCCACAGTGAACCCACAGGACTCCACTTGTTTTCGTTTATAAGTGATTGTCAGGGTCAGAGCACGAGCAAACAGCTTGTCTGGTGCTCCGCAGGAAAACCGCTCACGTTCTCTCAGCTGTGACGATCTCACATTATGTCTGATCCATAAAAAAATCCACGTGAAGCAGTTTTCTTTTTTGGAAAAGTAAAAAGAAAGTGATATTCT